TTTTATTTAAATTTCGAACCGGCATCCAAATAGAAAGCTGTTTATTAAAAAAAAAAAATGAACATTATGGCGAGTGAAAAATTATTATTGTTCGTTATTCGTCATTGAACTTAAAAAGTAAAATTGTGTTTTTGATTTCCGCGCATTGTTTGAGAAAAGTACTATACAAGCCTTGGCCACAACTAGGCATTGATGGATTCACGTATGTGTGCCTCGGCTACGCCTCGGCCTACATTTGTACGTTCGTCCATCAATGCCTCAGTTGCTGGCTGCTGCAGTAATGTACTATTAAATATATGTATGTACGAAACATATCATCATTTATTGGTTGTAGCAAGAGCGGTAAGGTTATTCTCATTATTTCAGCCTTTAGCTCTCTGTTGAACATAAGCCTTCCTCATAAGGGGAGTTTTGCCAGTACTTGCCGCGCTTGAAAGGCGGAATGGCATCCGCAGTTAGGTCTTGGAGATGTTTTAAGAGAGACACTGCTGTCCATCCCTCTACCGTTATGTTCCCTTATTCGCCTCTTATGACACCCACGGGATAGCAAGGGGAGGAATAGACCACCTATTCTATGCCGGGAGCGTATAGTCAATATTAATTTTGTCATGGAAGCTGCTGTTTCTTTTTCTACTGACCAAAAGTTACTCTTAGTTATTAAAAAAAAAATTGTCGTATTCTTTTGTATTAATTTCATAAAATGAAATAATTTTGTGTGATAAATAGTTTTGAGTGATTCCTCTATAACTTCTATATTTATATTGTTTTATAATTTTGCATCATTTTAATATGTAAAAACTAATTTTACAGGCACAGGTTACCCTAATTTGTAAGCTAGGGCAAAAAACATGTAACTGTGTAACCCTGTATTTGTTAATAAAGTTTATTATTATTATATATTATTATTATTATTTATTAAAGGATTAAATATAGATACGTCAAGATACATCATGTTCGTAAGTACAACACTGATAGAAAAACGAGAGCTAATTAGTTAACAAAAAGTTGACCGGTTTTTGAGATTCAATGCTCTATCTATATAATCTAAGTTCATATCATTTCATTTAGGATAACCTATACCTATATAATAAGATATTATACACAAAACGATTATACTAAAATAAATTTACAGATACATATTACAAGATGAACACATAAAAATCAATTTATAGATTTTTTATTTTATTATTGGTATGGATTATAGAACAATTTCGTTGAGTTTGGTCGACAAGTGATTTAGGTACCAACTTATGTTGTATTTACATTAGCCGAGAACTCGACGCGAGTCAACACCGCAAATGGTTTAGATTCTTGTAGTTAGTAAAGTACATTTAATCTTTATTAATCTTCTATAGATGAGTATTTCAATAGTTAATATATATATATATATATATATATATATATATATATATATATATATATATATATATATATATATATATATATATATATATATATAATCAAGTAATCATTTTATAGGAGTCGACGCTGCTCTTATGCATTCTAAACTAGAAAATGAACCTATGCAACCATCTATTAGTATCAACAAAATAAAATATACTATAATCTGCTTGTTTCTGTCCAAATTATTGATATCAATAAATATTATAAATGACATTATAAATGGTTTAGTCACATCACAGTGTCTTTGTTACAATTTTCAAATTCAATAAACTGGTTTTATAAATTTCATACAAATGTTTTCTATTACAAATGACGCCGGCTTCATTATTAACATGTATTTTTTTCATTTGTGTAAAGAGTACGTAAACTGTTTAGCTTAGTATTATTCTAAGGCCAGTTATAATTAGTAATTTCGCCTTTTGTATCATATTTTCTTTTGGGTTAAAGTAAATAAAATAAGTAAATATGTAAATGATTTGTGATTTTTTTTCTTTCTTTGTTAACAAAAATAATCTTGTCTAAATTAAGTAGGTATTTAATTTTATAATAAATAAATTTGATAAACTAATTTGATTTAAAAAGCATTATCAAAATTGATAAAAAAATTGTCAAAAATGGGAACTATTTTTGATTCATATTGTCAAAACTATTATTTCAAACTTAAGTTTTAAAGTTTAGTAAAATTTAATCTAAGTGTCAAATATATGTATACCGATAAAGTCGACGGTTAGTATTGTATGTAGATTTCTAGTAGAAAACCGATATTTTCTAGGATAGGTCCCCTGGGATTATATAGTTTTTTATCCGTAGACAAGTACATAAGTACAGTCTCACTCGGGATATTCAAATTTCGTCGATATGTGTAAATTGCTGCGTAACATATTCTTATATGTATTCACTGAATGGAGTGTGGATATGAACTAAATCAACTTATTTTAACCAGTTTCATAAGAGATCGTATAATGTTGCAGGGATGGTCGTAACACAGTGTTAGTATTTATTTTCTTTTTTATTATTCGCTTCATGAACTTTTAGGTTTTGGCTTATATTTCTTACATACATATGCTTAGTAATATATGAAAGATTAATAATTGATTAAGTTTGGTTAAAATGTCAGCAGAAATACCTAATATTTGCTGGGCTTTTAATGGTAAACCGTCACTGAGTAGTAAGTCGTAATATATAGAATAGGTTGTCGTAGATATATAGAATATTATTAAGAAACTAATAATATTTAAGAGATTACATTAGTTATTTTATTATAAATACAAACAATTATAGGAAAAGATTACACTGAGAAGACAATGCGTGGTGTTTTTGTTAAGAGCGATCTCTTTCAGGCAACCTTTGGATGGAGAAGAATATCTAATTACGAGAATAAACAATTTGACTGAAGGCACAAAACTTTGTTTTTTTTTTTATATTTGTAGATATATAATACGAACAACTATGTAAATATATGTATGTATATTTTAGCTTACTGATACACACTTAAATAAATTCATACATATACATACAAATTCATACATATAAGAATAGACATACATATGTAGTTACAAAAATAAAAAATAAAAAGAACGTGAAAACGCTAATCAGATACAAATTACAAAATTTTACAATTTGCTCACACAAAAGTCCTTAACTTTTGTTTGAAGTCTACAAAAATTAATTAGTTACGTTATAATTAATTTTTGTTGACTTCATAACGATGGGCCAGCTGACCTGCTTTCATATTTAGCTATTACCACTCACTGATGTCCCGCCAGCAAAAACCGATAGCGCCGGCGGGGTTACCATTCCATTTCCATCTATTAAAAACACACGATTCCGCACTCGAAATTTAAATATTTACAATGTAATCAGTATCATATCGGCATAGAATAGGCCACCCCTTCCTTTCCTGTGGGTACCGTAAGAGGCGACTGTGGCGTCTCTCCTAAAACATCAGAAAAAGCCTAGCCTAACTGCGGTTGCTAATCCAAGCGTGGCAACTACTAGCAAAACCTTCTTTATGGGAATGGCCTATGTTCAGCAGTGGACAGTTACCGTTTGATATCATGATGATGAGACGACTTTTGTACAGTCTCTCCCCGGTAACTTAATAAATCAATTAAAATTTATATAATTAGTTGATCGTAAAAGGGTGAAAATTTGAAGTTGTATGTATTTTTCAATGCTAAATCATATTAATAAAAATAAAAAACTTTGTCTAAAAAAATTAAAAACATTTTTTTAGGGGGAGTCACTCTTATCATTGAGGGGTATAAAAAATAGATGTTGGCCGATTCTCAGATCTACCCAATATGCACACAAAATTTCATGAAAACCGGTAAAGCCGTTTCGGAGGAGTTTGTAACAAACACCGCGACACGAGAATTTTATATATTAGATAATTTTGGAGGTTTAGACAATGAATCAGTCAAACAGGAGTGATATATGACGTGTTAAATAAGGGAGCAAACTGTATGAATTACATTTGATTACATCGATTATTCTGCCAAATTGACAAGAGTTATAATATGGCGCGTTAAAATGGAATGCTTGTACGAGATATTATCCTTGATCTATGCTTGTACGAGTATATTATAGAACACGGTTTCTCAAATTGGGAGCCACGATTCCTACATTGAACGCTATTTTTCAATTTAGGGGTTACGACTCTGCGGTCACGTTAAATATTAAAAGAAGTGTTCAATGTCAAATAATTACATATTTGTAGGTAATGAAAACAAAATTTTTGACTAATAAGTCAGTTGCAACTAAGAGTGGGTAATATAATATATAGCGATATCTTATATATTGTATATATCAATTATCTATATTTTGATTATCTAGTATATAATCTCGAAAAGAAGAACTCGCTCGTAATGACTATAGACATCTAACGCGTATGAGCAATATCGCAATGGGTGGTCATCAATATCCAAAATAACTTAATATATGGATATCGGATATTACCCATTTCTAGTTGCGACATGAAAAGGTTTGAGAAACGATGCCACAGGCACTCGACTGTGTATTTAGTAAGGCCTTCATCTATGTGGAATTTTAGATATTTTAGCTTCATCAGCTTGTGTGGCATTTCCAGTAGTTTGCGAACTAATCAATATGTATACATTGGTAGCTGTAACTGGCAGTTTTGCCAGCTAGAATTTACAGTTTACGATATGGTGTACTAAAATTTATTAAAATCTATCCAGAAATCTTAAAAAAAATCTTAAATTTTAGAAACTAAGAATGATTTTCCATATTTATAATATTTTTTTTATACAACTTAGAATGGCAAACAAGCTAACGGCCCACCTGATGGAAAGTGGTAACTGTTGCCTATAGACATGAGCAGTATCATGGACATAACAGAGTATACTGTTTCGCCTATGATACGCCATGCGTTGCCATTCCTGAGGACTCAGGTGTTATTCCTCTGTTCCAAGAGGGAGGCCTATGTTCAGCAGTGGACAGTTAAGGGAACAGATGATGATGACTCGTATAAGTTTGCCAGCGTCTGGTATGAAGTGTTTTTGGGTTGCCCTCGTTGCAGACACGAAGGTCTGTCACGTGGCTTATTAATATCGTTTAAGGAATTTATGACTCACCTGGCGCAATTCCGTTGCTAATTCGATGACTAGTTGATTTTGTTCTTTCTCAAACTGCAACGACACTTCAACTTCATGAGGTTCTGTAATTCATTATTTAAATTAACGTAACTTAATTAAATTAAATTTAACTTAATTAAGTTACGTTACTATTAATTAAATTTAATTTAACGACAATAATAATTATATCCTACTGTGAAATGTGAAAATTCGTATACGTTGGATGTTTACAGCTGATTTTGAATAAATATTGGCATATACATATATGTGCCATATCCTGGCTTAATATACCATAATCTTAACATATCTTAATTGTTAACATTTTTTTAAACCACTATTATAATTGATGACGTATATTATAGTGGTTTAAAAAAATGTTTTTGAAAGATCTCAATTTATTTCTAAGTGGCAATCATAAGTTGACGTAAAGTTATCAGTAAAGTATGTCACGTAGTGGTTAATTTAATTTAATTTATTTATTTTGTGATACATAGGTAACAGTATATAACTCTATCGAGGTATACAAATTCACAAACGTATATACAATTAGAAAAAAATAAAAGAAATACAATAATGTCATTTAAAATATAAAAAGAATTCGTACAATATTAAGGAAATTTATTGCATTTTCCAAGGAAATCGTCAATTGAATAATACGTTTTGTTCACTAGTCTACTAGTTCCAGTTATAAGTGTACCCGAAGGCCTATTCTGAAAATCAGCGCTGTAGTCTGTATCGACGGCTGCACAATAAAGAGTAGGGACCTTTTTAACAAACAATAGGTCGCATTTCTGCGAATATCTTTACAATGTATAGTAATAACTGTCTACCTATTGTTTTGTTAAATAAACGCCATCAATATTATTATTAATCATTCCATATTGTCTTTTAAGATATATGGAGCAAATAAAAACGAAAGCAGTTAGAAGTAGCTTTATATTATTAAAGAAAAATATTTTTACAGAGAGAGTTTATTTGTGCAACTACAAATTTTGTTATATAAATACTAGATTAGTAGAATACTAGAATAGTTTAGATTTTGTACAAAAGTCGATTGCTTGGGTACCTCTGTCCCATTCGTGTTTCAACCGTGAAGCAGTTGTGTTTGCATGGCTGTGTTTCGGTTTGAAGGGTGGGATATGGCGTGAATTTACTGGGTACAGAGGAATAACACCTGAATCCTCAGGAATGGCAACGCATGGGGGTAACATGGGCGAAACAGTATACTCTGTTATGTCCATGGTACTGCTCATGTCTATAGGCGACGGTTACCACTTTCCATCAGGTGGGCCGTCAGCTTGTTTGCCATTCTAAGTTGCATAAAAAAAAATCATCGGGTAGAAAAAAAAAATAAAAAAAGATGACATGTAAATTTAACATGTCAGGCTTTAACACATATTGACATTCATTTGTTTTCGCATCAAAATATAAACTGCACCAATTTAAGGCAAATGTAAATAGGCTATTCGTGAGCCCGCGAGCCCCATCTTAGACCACATCATCGTTTTCCATGAGGTGAGGTTATAATCAATCGCAGGATCCTTTAATAGTAAGAAAAAACTATACGAATTTAATTTTGAGGTTGTTTAGTTAGAAGTCGATTATTACTCTTCTGGTGTTTGTATCATTAAATAAGCCAGACACTAAGTTTTCTGTCATTGTCACATGGATTAAACTGGTTTATTAGTTACTAGCGATCTGCCTCGGTTTTGCATAGGTAGATAGAAAGTTAAATTTGTTTTTTATAGTAAATTTTTGATATCCCTTGGGTTACATTATTGTAGTTATTGTATGGACCTCAATTTTAATTTTAAATAAATTAAATTCCACGTAACTCGCTGATAATGTTGCTTTCTATAAATAAAAAAATTGAATTTTGAGTTTATTTATTACAAATATACAAAAAAATCAAATATTTACTGTTTATAATATTAGAATAGATGTTTATCGCTGGAGAGTCAGTCAAAAATTTCAATTCACTCATAAAGTGTTTGGTATCGGCAAGATTCGAGCTGTTTGCAAACCTTTGAGATTTGGTAAGTCGAGATAACATATTTGATGATAGTTAAAATATTTACACAGAATCTTACCTTCGAAAGAATTAATGATGAATACCCAAAGAATAGTCCAAAAGATCAAAAACATAGCTATCCCAAGTTGGCATAACAGGCACTTGAAGATTATAGATGTTACCGCTTCTTTGGGATATTGTGGAGCTGGGTAGACTCTCAACCACGTATCTGTAACCTTAAAATGTAATAATAAGTTAACTTGTTCTATTTCACAGATTTCAATTTTTGCCTACACAAATATTTTATTTTTGTACAATATAGTCTTGAATAAAACAATTGTGACATCTTAAAGCTATTTTATTTTAAATTTATGTATCTTAGATTGCAAATATCATCAAATAAATAAACTAGTATATGTATCTTGGAAAGAGTTCAGTTACTTACTTTATTTATAATTATTGTTTTCAATTCATTATTAGCTTGAACTGATTTGTCGATTACCCTATTTTCTATTTCATTATCTAATTCGTTTGCATTTTCATTTATCATATTTCCTACTTCATGTCCTATTGGTTTATTACTAGTTCTTACTTCTTTTAATTTCACTTTTTTTGTACTATTGACTACAATATCACTAACTTCACAAGCACCAGGTAGTGTATTTGTATCTTTATTTTTGATTGTTAATATATTATCATAATTAACATCTTTAATGTTTAATATGTCTCGTTTGACATAAATTTCATTGCCATCTGGTTTTCTATTGTCAAGATCAATTATACTAAACTTCGTTTTCTTAGATCCAGTTCGATTAGATTTAATTTTTTTGTAAAGAGGCTTAACAAATTTTATGTTGTTTTTGAATTTGTCTTTCAGAGACGGATTCTTCATATCGACTGCTCAATTGGGCAGCTGAATATGAACTGATGACCCAAAAGTGTTTGGTTAGAATTGGCGTGTTTAAAAACTTCGATTTTCAGTTTAAAGTTGGGTAAGTCGGAAGTAATTGTTCGACTACGGCCTAACTTTTAATATCTACTGCCTTCTGATAAGTCCCAGTTTATAGTTGGTAAACTTGATTTTTATTTACTTCTTGCATTCGTAAAATTATACTCGTATATGTATTATTTTGTTAATGTATATTTTGAATTTTTTTGCGGTTCCGAAAACATCTTTTATATCTAAATACCATAATGTTTAGACTTGTGGGATTTTGAATTTTGGTGACTTGCAAATGTATTGTTATGTTATTGGTGATAATTTATTTTTATCATTGCCTACAGTGACAATATATTTAAATATTTTACTGAACAAGAATTTATTGAATAGAATTATTTTAATTTCACTACCTTACTGATGCCCTGGTAAGCGGCAGGCGGGGTACTCATTTCGTTATCATCCATTAAAAATACAATGCTCTATAACTTAGTTTAAGTCTAGATGGTAATAATACTGTGTAATCTTTCCATTAGTAAGCTACTCGGGAACTGTTTTTGTCTATAAACTGTCGGTTCTTTAAGTTATACGGTTAATGTCTTTCCACTTCAGCTTTTTGAAGTTTTAAGCTATAAAGAATCCCTTCAGATTTATGTCTATTTTTATGACTCAGCAAAATGTCGACTACAATTTTCACTATAGTCTGCTGAGCGACGTTAAGTTTAATTGCACGATTAGCTATGTAAATGCCCGTATCAAAAACTCAGCACAGGAGCATTTTTTAATCTAATTTAAATTTTTTATTATGAGAGTTTGCAACTGATAAAAAGTATCAGATAAAAGCATATTATGGATCCATATATGACAATTAATGTATGCTGTGTGGTCCGGCATAGAATAGGCCATCCCTTCCTTTCCTATCGTAAAAGTCGATTAAGGGACGGTGAGGGATGGGTAGCAGCGACAAAAGTCGATTGCTTGGGTACCTCTGTCCCATCCGTGTTTCTATCGTGTAGCAGTTGTGTTTGCATGGCTGTGTTTCGGATTGAAGGGTGGGATATGGCGTGAATTTACAGGGTACAGAGGAATAACATCTGAGTCCTCAGGAATGGCAACGCATGGGGGTATTATGGGCGAAACAGTATACTCTTATGTCCATGGTACTGCTCATGTCTATAGGTAACGGTTACCACCTTCCATCAGGTGGGCCGTCAGCTTGTTTGTTATTCTAAGTTGTATAAAAAAAAGGAGATTTATGTTTACCAATGGATAAAGACTAGCTTAAAGATGATAACAAGGCATAGAAGACATTTATTACATGGAGGTTTGCCCAAAATGCCTGGTTACTTATCTCACTTGCATTTTTACTGTGATGCGGTTGTGCGTGGCTGTGTTTCCGTTTGAAGTTTTTTTTTTAATGGATGATAATGGAATGGCAACCCCGCCTGCGCTATCGGTATACGTGTTCCAGTGAGTAGTGATAGGTGAGGATGAAATTAGGTCAGTTAGCCTATTGTGATGGATCCAACAAGAATTGTACACGCTGGTTTCCAGGAGGAAGCGTGTGCAGTTCGACTTGATTGCAAGAAATGGGGATTAACTTCCATATTACTAACAATCCTACCCCCCCCCCCCTCCCGTTTGAAGGTTGGGCTATAACAGTGAAATGACAGGATGCGGAGGAATAGAATTATAGTCCTTGCAAGCGGAATACCATGGGTGCATCACAGTGCATTGTAGATTGGCCATTCTTTATATTTTTTTACAACTAAGAATGGCCCTATTACTAACAATCCCTTTTCCCCCTAAAACTTTGTTTTGTTATTTAATGAATAATAATGGAATGGTAATTTCGCCTGCGCTAACGGTATACGCTGGTGGGGCGACAGTGAGGGTTGACAGGTGACGATGAAAGCAGGTTCGTTAGCTCATCGTGACGAATTCCACTAGAATTAACCACGATAGTTTCCAAGGGAAACCGCGTGGAGGTTGACCTGATATGGTATATTGTTAGTAACGGGGACATTAGATACCATTATTAGCAATCCCTTTCCCCCCACAACTTTGTATTAGGTGGCTGTCAGCTTACAATTATGTAACAGACAAAAAGTGTAGGCATAAAGAGGTAGTAAAACATTTAATTTTTACCAGGTAATGCGAATCTGAGTAAAATTTACGACTGAAGTCTGTACAACTTTTACTTTATTATCAGAATTTACGATCTAGATATAAAGATTGTTACAGTAACATCTACGTAAATTCAACGTTTCGAAGAATGAAAGAAAGTTTAAATTGAGTTGGTGTCATGTGGTCCGTCAACGACGAGCTGCTGTTCTGATACAAACTTCCCTGGTATTTGTGTGCAACGAATAAATTAGTTTTCGGATGGGAGTGAAATAAAAAAAAAAATATGTATTCAATTGTCAAACTTTGCTATTCCGTTCAGTGGCGAGATTACGTGGTTAACGTTTCTGTCACTGTGTATTGTATTGTAAGTATTATTTTATCATTTTACAGTTTTTTTTAAAGGGTGATGAGGAAATAATAACCCTGTCTGCGCTATCGGTATATGCTGGCGGGGCATCAGTGAGGGATAATAGATGGCGATGAAAGCAGGTCAGTTAACGTGGACTAATGGATGAATTCCACTAGAATTAATCGCGATAGTATCCAGGGGGAATCGCGTAAAGGACGACCTGATGGGGTGTATTGCTAGTTATGGGGAAATTAGATCTTATTACTAACAATCCCTTTCCCCCACCATTTTGCAGTTGTTTCGGTGATATTGTTATACCACTATTACTTCATATTTTTTTTATACCACTGAGGTGGCAAACAAGCATGCGGCCCACCTGACGGTAAACGGTTACCGTAACCTATGAACGCCTGCAATACCAGAGGTATTATGCGCGCGTTGCCGATCCTGAAGAAATCTCTTTACCCCATTCATTCATTCCATAACCTGAGTGTTCGTGGGAGAAAACATCTCTGAAACCGCGTTGTACGCGACCATTAAGGCTGTATGTAGGGTATGAGGGTGAACTCCCTGATGGTGAGCCATACGATGATAGAAAGTGGCCATAGGCATCATTTTGAATAATTCTTCTGAGTACAACCCGTTGTACAAGCGGTAGAACACGCAGAGTGAGGCAAAATCTTTCTTAAGACTTAAGGGTTCGATACCGCTTGCAAGCCCGGGATCATCGACAATTCTCATAGCTCGTCGTTGCACTGAGTTGAAGGGTTCAAGCTGGTATCTAGGTGCTCTAACCCATAAGTGACAGCGATACTCCATGTGGGGCCGGATTTGCGATTTATAGAGCATTAATCGCTGATCCGGCGTGAAGTAATGCTTCGCTCTATTAAGCACACCGAGTTTTTGCTTATCTCATCTTTGCTTTGCCTTTTCCCATTTATTTGTCGTCTTCTTCGTATATTTGTCGTATCAGTACGTCTTCTTCTACAAATCCTTGTCGACTGTCGTACGTGGAAGAAAGTGCCATAAAAATGCACGGTGGAAGTCCGCTACTCATCCAGATGGTAGGGATAAAATTTTTTTGTTTGTGGCGGGTTATACGGTGGTGAAAATCAGCAACAGGTATCAATCCGAACAGAGTTTCCTCAGAATCCTCTCCTTGATAAATTCGGTAGAAAATCTCTGCACAGAGATGCAACATGTCGGCGCAGTTTCAGTGGGTCGAGTCGGACAGTAATAACTATTTAATCCCTGGAGGTGTCGGCTATTAATCTAGAAAGCTAGATGCCACTTTACATCAGGTGGGCTTTTTTATTATTATTTTTTATACCACAAAGTTGGCAAACAAACATACAGTCCGTCTGATGTTAAACGATCACTATAGCCTATGGATTCCTGCAACACCAGGGGTGCCACGTTTGCGTTGTCGACCTTGAAGAAATCTTAATACACTCTTTTTTTTTTATACAACTTAGAAAGGCAAACAAGCTGACGGCCCACCTGATGGAAAGTGGTAACCGTCGCCTATAGACATGAGCAGTACCATGGACATAACAGAGTATACTGTTTCGCCCATGATACCCCCATGCATTGCCATTCCTGAGGACTCAGATGTTATTCCTCTGTACCCTGTAGATTCACGCCATATCCCACCCTTTAAACCGAAACATAGCTATGCAAACACAACTGCTTCACGGTTGAAACACGAATGGGACAGAGGACTCTTTTTGAAGTACCCCGCTCTGTAGTCTCTAAGGAAAACCTCGGCAGGGAGCTCATTCCACAGCTTGAGCGTTCGTGGGTGAAAATTTCTTTGAAACTGCACTGTACGTTATTATAAGTTATTCTAAATTGTTTAAAAATCACCTAAAAACATTATGTTTTAAACCAATAAAAAAATAGTAAATAAAGAAATAACAGTGATTTATATATTTTACAACCATAAAGTATCTTTTAGAAAAAAATCCATTAATAAAATACAAAATTCCCAAAAAATCATAATCTAGTTTTAGCTACTATCAGCAAAGTAAAATTTATTATTATGAATAAGTAAAATAATATATGCGTAAATTAGAAACAAATGCGGGTCTATAGTTTATGGTCTGTATAATGCGGTCTGTATGCCATAAGTCTCAATCTTAGAATATTAATTTATATTTTATAAATATCAGTTACAACTATCATGTGATTTACTGAACCTAGGTATATCTTCAATTATATTAATCAATTTCAAAAATGAAGAAAGTTCTCGATGCGGTTATATTTTTTTTTGTTTTTATAATTTCAGATCTCTGTAATTTTAAACCTTTATAAAGGTTGATAAATTTATATTTAATCTAAAGAATATAGGTATTTTCAAATGAGCCTGATAGAAATTTCATCAAAATTGGGTCAGTTAATTTTTAATAAAAATAATTCGTCTTTTTATTATCAAATTTGGTATCTTATTTGTGGAATAAAATTTATTTTCTTTTCTAACTGTAATAAAAATTTGACATTAATAAAAAATGCAGGAGAACCTATTTTGTATGTGTTATTATGATTCAGAGTTCTTGATAATGTACAAATAATCGATTCTCATTACTGCATTTTTTTAGAATTAAAAATAGAATACATGAACTCGTAATAGGAAACTTGCTTAGTACAGTAGCTATATTGATTTTTCAGTTCTCGAAACCGCCACCAGAGTGCGACGTTTACTGTCAAAACAGTGTGTTTTGAGGAAAAGCCATTTTCACGTAAAATTACAAGTGTTTTTTAATAAAAAAATATTATCTATCTATCTCATAGTACTTTTTCTGTACCTTGCTTAGTTCAGTGATATAATGAGTTTATTTGACAATGAGTTTTGAAAATATTTCATGTATATATGTACTACAAAGTGCAACAATGTTAGATGTTGGTTATAGGTTATTGTGATTTCCTAAGTTACTTTTGTGATTGTGTGATGTGAAAACAGAAATAAACGTTCTTTTGCCAAACAAATACAATATTTTCGTTATATTGAAATTGTTATAATTAACAATATACTTTTATCCTTACTTTTTTGTGAATAATAGCAGTAAACTTGCGGTTCTATTGTTTGAAATTGATATTTTGTGATACATTTTTTTAAAATAACAATTACTTTTAATATTTAATTATGTACTAAATTGGAAAATATAATTTAAGATTGTGTTCAATAAAAAACCGACTTCAATTTTGGCGGAATGAAAATTGATTTAAAAACTAAACTATATATTTAGATAAAATGCCTATGAGACCAATTTGTAAGCATATCCTTTTAAATCAAAAGAGAATTTTCCAAACCAGTTTATAACTGACGGCGATATGAAGTAACAAATAAAAAAAAAATACAACCGAATTGAAAATAATTGTTCTTTTTGAAGTCGGTTGAAAAATAACCCAATTACTTGTTATTCGTATTTTATATCATTGTTAATTTTAAACTTTAGTTAAAAAAATTATACATAGCCAACGATTTCTGTTTTTTTTTTTTGTTGTATCATTGTTAAAATCTCTCTCTCTCTCTGTGTGTTTTTTTTTATTTATAGTAAAATCAAAAATATTAATAAGTCTCTGAAGGGAGTGTTCTATTAGGGAATTTTAGCATATTCCCATTGAATTATTATTAATTATTAATTAGAATTATTGGTCGAAAAATAATAAGAAATTATACACGACCTCTCAAATTAGTATGAGGAGTCATATGAGAAAAATGTACAATGTCACAAGTAGAACATTGCCTAAAAGTATGTTAACGATTTAAATTGCACCTGTATTCTGACATATCTGAACAGTATAACAGTGTTTAATATTTATTGTGTGAGAAAAGTATGAAATTCGTGCAGTACAAGAAGATATGTTGAAGAAACTACATAATTAAAGACAATGTCAGTTAAAAATGATCAGATGTCTGCGAATATTCGGAGCGTATTCCTTCAGGTTGTCGCGGAGGCACTCGACTATTCTTCTCATCGCCTCCTTCATTGTGACCATCACCGTCATTCTCCAACTATACGCATACAGACACCACGACCGGCCCCACAGAAGACAGAGGATCGGTGACTTTGACTACAGCCCTGGCTCGTTTCTAAAAGGCCGACAGCCTAATGAAAATGTGACTTACTGTAATTTTAATTATGGCCTACCGGATACTCTCAAATGGGGAAGTTTTCGTGTACAGTCGTCCCCGGAGACAGGAAATTTGAGTCCATACGGCGTGATTTATGACGCTATTAAGGGCAAAGCGTATACCAACACGAGCAAATACGAAGCGTTGACGTACGCAACACAAGCAACCCCCGAATTTATCTATCATATCGTAGAAATAGCTAAGTACTGGGATGGACCTATCAGCCTTTCCGTCTTCGTTCCTGATTACGATGCAGATTTAACAATACAAATTATGAATCACTTGTGTCACTGCTATTCTGGAATGTCAAAGGTTTCTCTACATTTATTTTATCCCAGAAAATTTCCGCCCAAAATGCGAACTAGAGAGCAAAGAATGATGTCCACAACTACCGTCGTGACAACCACTATCAACAGTACAGTTGAGGAAATACTAAAAGCAAAACTAAATAAATATAGGAATTTGAACAATAAAACGCGAGCTCAGTACATAGAATGGGTGAGAAAGAATAAAATCCAAAGAATGATGGTGCGACTACCTAAAAAGAGGTCATTTGCGCCCACGCTGCAATTCCGGGATTGTTCTGGCTTGGAATCCTTCGATATTCCCACATTCAGACGAGAAAATAATATGATATATCCTATAAACGTGGGCAGAAATGTAGCTAGAAATGCTTCAAGGACAAACTACTTTATAGTATCAGACATAGAAATGGTGCCAAGCGATGGATTAGCGCCCAAATTTCTGACAATGGTAAGAAAACTTATGGGCGATAAGAAACGAAACGAGGGCTGTATATTCGCTAAGACGGTCTTTGTTGTGCCGTTGTTTGAAGTGGAGAGAGGGGAGGAGATTCCACGCGACAAAGACACGTAAGTTGATGAATAAAATAGGCCTTTTGATATTTGCTATGTTATTCTGTAATATTTCGCACTTTATTTCGCATTATTTTCACTTGATTAAAATTTTCACTCATCTAATATTTAATTATTTAGTAAGTTTTGGGAATTAGTTTCCTAAGGATGGTAGTACACAAAATCTTGTTAACTACGCCGTCACCTTAATTAAATGGTACTATCATTGATCTCATTTCTTTAGATCATTTAAATTACTCGCAGATCGCTAGTGAAATTTAAGGTTCACTTTACAGAATAACACTATTGTAAATGTACACCTACGTTATACTTATCATAGTCTACGGTATCACCTGTTTCCCTTCTAATACGGGATTACAGCGTTGAATGATGTGTCCTTTATAGTATAAATTCTGCACAGAGTTTATACAGATTTAACGTAAATCGTTTTATTTTCGTTCAAAGTTAACTAAAGTTTTGATATACATTCTGTAGACATTTCTAATATGTGCAAAAGTATAAATAAATAAATAAATTTATTTTAAAAAGATTCAAATACTATCACCATATTACAGAAATATATAAATACCATACCAGAAGGAGACTTTGTACAAAAGTCGTTTGCTTGGACACCTCTGTCCCATTCGTGTTTCCACTGTGAAGCAGTTATGTTTGCATGGCTGTGTTTGAAGGGTGTGATATGACAGGGAATTAACGGGCTACAAAGAAATAACACTTGATTCCTCAAAAATGGTAATACATGGGGGATATCATGGACGTAACAGTATTCTTTGTTATGTCCATGGTACTGCTCATGCCAATAGGCGACGGTTACTATTTTCTATCATGGGCCGTCAGCTTGTTTGGCATTCTAAGTTACATAAAAAAAAAACAAAAATATTAACTGTATCTCAACACCCATATCCTTAATATTAAAGTGTCCTATTCCTATATATTAGGGTACGTACCAAATTTCATACAAATCCGTTCAGTAGTGTTTGTGTAAAAAATTAACATATATTTATCCATCTATCATCGTTACAAACATTCGTGTTTGTTATATTAATAAGATAGATAGATAGATACTCTTTATTGTTTCCTCCAAAAGATTACAATAGTAAACTTTTTATAAATATAAACAATTACAAGAAATAAGACTAGTAGGTACGTAGGTAGGTGCTTTTAAAAATCATAGCACGTCACGATATCGTCAGGATAATAATTGGAAAACAAAATGTATGCATTTTTAAATTACCACGACGATATTGTGGACGTGAACAGAAATTTTAAAGTATTTGTTTGCAATTGCTTTTGTGCTTCTATTATATCGTGGCAGTAAATTATGAAAGCGTCCAATGATTTGATTTTTTTATGATTCTCAGAAAGACAAAATTGATGATGTGCCTGATGTAAAGTGGTTTATTTTTCTTTATTTAAAATCCAAGTTTCAAATACTTTATAGCTAATAGGTACTCTAATTGAAAATGATCGTTAGTAAGGAAGATTGCTATTGTTAGATTTTTTTATTAACAGGGTTATTATTATTATTATTGTTTTATTGATTTGTTAAAAATTAATTAACAAATCAACCTCTTCGCGGCTACCCTCAGAAACCAATGAATGAAAATGAATGAACGATCCAAGGTATTACGAGTATATGACCTGATACCAATGCTACACTTTGGTACCTTTCGCCATAGAGCTGGAGTTCCTGCTGGAGAATATACATATATATTTTCAAGTAAACAGTTAAATATAACTGTTTACTTGAAATATAAATATTTAGTATATATTATATACACCTATCCCCCGATTTACACGGTACTTGTTTTACACGTTTTCGCTTTTACACGGTTTTCTAAATAAGTTTTTTTTTTGTTTTTATCGCACTCTACTAAATGCTACTGTGTTTGAACACGTGCGCTGTGTACACATCTCACGGGGAATCCCGAACTTATGTGCTGACTTGCTGCACATGCACACTGTGTCTGTATTTCTTCGCATAAAATTAAAGTTTTATCTACGGAAAATTGTATTTGAGTGAAAGTTTCACGGTGTCAGAAAGATTTAATTTTTCATATTCGTAAATTACAAGTGAGTGCATAATTAAGATTTTTATAAATTGACATAAATTAAAAAAAATTATAGGCTTATAATGTCGAAAGAAGTTAAAAGAAAAGTTATTTCTTTAGAAACTAAAATCGAAATTTTGGATCGCTTACGAAAGGGAGATAGAGTAGTACATAGATGTTGCAAAATCATATAACATGAACGAAGCTACAATAAGAACTATTAGAACAAATGAACATTTTTATTTTTATTTCTGTGTACACCTAAAAATATTGAAAAAAATTACAACTGTTAAATAGCAAAATTATGTATTTTTTGCAAGCTTTTCGATTTACACGGTTTTGACTAGAAAATTTTTAATTTTCGATTTACACGTTTTTCTCAGGAACGTATCTACCGTGTAAATCGGGGGATAGGTGTATATATAAATAAAATATATATAAATATTTACTCTTTTTGGAGCTTATTTTGATTTATTTATTATTTAAATTTAATAATAAATTTTATTAATTAATGTCAGTGAACTTCAGCTTAATATACATTTTACGACTAACCCTGTATAAAGAACTGACTTAGTCGATGAATTGCTGTATTTTAATATCAAAATTTATAACCTTTTGTAAGGTATACAAATTTGCTGTGATCGCTTCCATTGTTCTCTCTATTTGTAATATAACAAAAGGAAAAGTCACATTTTAGCTATTCTAAGACGTTGGTTTTATTTTTAAAATGTAAAAACTCAATTTATATTCTGTAAAGGAGTTAAAGGTCGAAGTTTAAAATGTCATATTGTACCTCAACAGCTTACAATTGGATATTATTTCCTATTTTAGTACAAAATGCTACTTAAAATTTATTTCACGAAAGGTTAAATTCGTGCATGATTTCGTAATATGCAAGTATACGGGTATAAGAATTGCTTTTATTTTTAATTTACTTCTAATAGGGGAGCAAATAGTTGCTTGTTGCGAAGCAAAATCTTCTTATAGACATACAATTCCGCGTTCTAAATTCAAATATTGTGTGTAAAAGTTTTGTGTGTAAATAGCTCCGTTTTCATTATTCCTTGTATGTACTTTCCTATTTTTTTTTTTTAATGGGGGTGACTGGATAAGTAATTCCGCCTACACTAGCGGTATATGCTGGAGGGGTACCAGTGATAGGCGAGGATGAAAGCAGATCAGTTGGCCCCTCGAGACGAATTCAACAATATTTAACAACGATGGTTTCTACACGGAACCGCGTGTAGGTGGATCTCATAGAGTATATTGCTAGAAATATATTATGTAATTAGACTCCATTACTAACAATCCCTTTCCCTCACTTAGATAATACTGATAGAATGTAATGCTTTAACAAAAACTTTACTTTATCCATATATGCTTAAATCGAGATACGAGAATATAAATAAATATCAGTAATAACTGTACATCTAGTTATTACTGAGTATGTGGGAGAAAGTTAACTTGTAAGGTTAAATTGAAAAATAAAAACAATAAAAATATTTATGAATGCATTTGAAAAAAAAAATAAAGGAATAAATAGAGAAAATGGTGCTTACCTTCACTGATTTATCTGGAATAGCCTTAAAATCTTAGATTATATTATATTGTATAATGTTGATAGAGCATCGAGTGTCGAAAACGGGTCAACATCGAGTCAGTTAATTTGACGTTTGGTTGACTAAAACTAGCGACACATTTTGTTAAATCAGAACAAATGTATGTTGTTTTTATCACTGTTGCAAGTTATTTGATTTACAATTTCCTAGATCAAGTAGATTTTTTTCAACTACAATCAGGAACTCTTTTTCTGATATAATATAAATATACAGTAATTGATTAAGTGGCATATAAAATGTGAAAGTTCTAAGTGAACCTTATTAAATAAATAAATACATAGGTATGTATTAATTAAAATTCAATAAGTATGTATTAATTGAAGTGGTAGTCATTGTTATTTATTTAAAAACGAAAACATATCAAAGGGTATAGTAAGTATCATTATAGAATTATTATGGACTATTTATTTGATATTTTTAAATATACTGGTAAGAAATTTGTATACTTTTTATTTTTTATTTTACAATATATTTTCTCCCATATGTTTGGCAATAAATTGATATGGTATATTATGGTAACCCTATTCAGCACATATCAATAAAGTAGACCTGTTTTTAGGAAAGCATTTGTATGGAGATACTCTATTTATATACTCTAATATATAATCTAAGCGACCTTCGTTGTACATAAAAAGAGGAAAAAAGTGCGATTGAACCAAGTAAAGTCTGTTTACTAAAGTTGTATATTTGAACGTTCTAACTCACATATAAAGACAGTTTTCATTTACTACGTGACATGACTATTTGAATATGTCGTAATACATACGAATTTCCATATGTCTCAAGGGACCTTTCCCTTCCATACGGATTTGGGGTTTGATCTATGTGTTTTGAAAAGTTTTACTAACGTTATAGCTATGATTTTATATCGCAGATATCAAATAAGCATTCGACTCGTCTGATGAACTTTTGGATAAGTAATTTTCTTAATTCACTTGTATTTTCAACCCATTTAAAAAAGAATGAGGTTGTCAGTTCGAGTGTAGGTATTTTTTTTTTGCTAAATTGACATGTAGCTAACTCAATTTGACATATATTTTTTAAAAAATTGGTCTGTATATTGACATTGACAAAAAACGTCATTTTTCAGTGTTGCAAGTAATTGGATTAAAAATTTCCTGGATTATCTCGATTTTCTATATTTGAACTGGATACTATTTTTTTCTGATATATATGCACTTATGGCTTACATAATATACTTGTATTATTTTAAATGGTAGCTGTTTTCAATGATTTTAAAATGAATATTTATTTTATGTTAGTTACTTAGATATAAATTAAAGTATCGGTAGCCGTGTGGTCCCAATATAATATGGTCTTTTTGTGGGTTTCGTTAGAAGCAATTAAGGAAATTTAATGATAGATGGTTTGGTAGCAGCGTCCCTTTTAAATCATCACTAAAGCCTAACTGCTGTACTAACTCTCCTGCCAGGCGTGGCAACTACTGGCAAAACCCCTTAAGGGGGAGGCCTATGTTCAGCAGTGGTCAGTTAACAGTTAGCTGTTCATCATATCATTATCATCATCATATCATTGTGATGATGATAAATCGGCAAAATAAGCATATTTACAAACCTTTGTTTGTAATTATGCTTTATTTACCTTGTTATTTTAAATATATTTTCAATAATTATGTAAAGATTATAAATTGTGAATATTCATTGAGTAAAGTTGTTAATTACATAAGCTTTCACACGGGTCGATATCAACCAACGCAGTAAGTACTGGACCGTAAGTGCGTCATATGCCTGGCAATATACCTAATAAATGTAGCAAGTACCTAATACATATGTAACTACGTACATACGTACGTTAACCCCGTTTTATAGCGGCGTCATCGTTCCCTAAATTAAGCACTGAGCTTTGGCTAAATCATTCGTCCGACGCCATAGAACCATGTACCCATAAATAGAACTGCATTCCTTTCTCTGTCGTCATAAACTGGCGTTTACAGCCGTCGTATTTCCTTATGGAAATAAACTTTAGACCTTTTTCCGTTTATACAGTGTAACAAATTGTACATTATTATTTAGATTAGTTGTAACACAAAAACCAGTGTAAATTTTTGAATTTAAATAATTTCTATGTAAGTTGTTTACATTTTATGACCTCATATTTTACTAAGTCCTCATGTAGTGTATAGAGGACATGTTTCGTAGATATATTATTACATTGTAAATATTTGATTATTATATAAAGTTTGCAAGAAATAAATTTAGAAATAAAATCAGGCTCGCGATCGCGTTACAGACGCTCATGATTAAGGATCACGAATTTATTCCTAAAACCAGTTGAGATTTCTCAAACAAATTACGCGTAAGTTAAATCGGTAGTTATTATATTAAAAAGAAATAGTCATTTCTCAAAGAAAAATGGCAGCTTTATTCACAAAAAACGTGAAAGAGATGTAGTTAGTAGAGTAGCTACATAAATCTTAATATATAAAAAATCCGTTTACGCTAACCTCAGAGATCATTTAAATGATTTTAATGAAATTTTGTAAGTGATTGTCAATTTAATAGATAGGGTAGTTTTTATCTTGATAAAAATATACCCTGTAGGTAGTGATAGGTCGCAAAGTGACATTTGCGGGCTCAGTAATATTATATATTTCATACCCCAAGCTTGGGACATGTTTGTCACGCAGTTAGGTTTTTATTATTATATGCCGCATGCGGCCTACCTCCAGGCGATGTAATCCAATAGGACAAGCGGTAATTTACAGGACAGAACAAAATAACGTTTCAGTAGTTTTTGTTCTTTTGCCTCATATATGTATAATTCTTTTTTTTTCTTTTTTATTTTTAAATATTTCACTGTACTAGATGTTTTCTTGCTGAAGTCCATAAAAAAAATTAGACATTCGCAAATTGGGTGCCGAACGGTTAACACGAGGCTCTAATAATTTGCCTTAAGATACCTAGTCTAGAGGTAAAAAACGTGCATAGACGATATGGGAGTCAGAGATTGACAGCTAATATGGAAGGTTGTGGAAATATTGGTACTAATACTGAAGGTCAATCTTCGAGTGTTCTCAGTCGCACGCATACTAATGATAGCGGAATCAAATAAATTAATTCTAATCAAATAACCGGTAATTATTTTTTTATCAACTTGAAATGACAAACAAATAGATGGAAAGTGGGAATCGTTGTATACAGTAATGAAAAGCGATATGATTACCATAGAGTAAATTATTAATTGTAATGCCACAGAGTAAATTATTAATTGTAATAGTCATAGTACTATGCTACTCCGTGATATATTTCCATTCCTGAGAAGTTATGCCTATGACGAATCTCATTCTCAAACTATACAACCATACAAGTGAAGTTGCTTTGTGGTAGACACATGATTGAGACAGAGGTATTAATGGAGACGATTTTTTTGGTATAAATACTTAGCTGTTTTATTTTTTTTTTATTTTTAGTATTTATGTTTTTTATTTTTTAGATCTCCTTTGCTATATTTATGTATACTTGGATTTGCCATAGTTATGTATATCTGGTAGTTATATAGTTATTAGTTAAACTAAGGTATAATGTTTTTGTGCAGGTTAGTACGTATGGTGGCTGCAAACCGCGCAACATATTTCCATCAGAAGGTCTGCTCTCATTGCCAGAGGTTTCCAGGTCTTCAATCATGGCTGACTAGATCCTCACCCGCTGGAATAGAGGTGAGACTTAAACGATTGCTCTGACATAAGCTTATATGACAAGCTATTATACATTATTGACATTTTTTTTTTTTTTTTTTAAAAGAGCTAAATAAGTTTGGATAAGTTACACATATGTAGGTATATATGCCGTGTGGTCCCAAATAAAATGGGCTCTCCCCTCCCTTTCCCGTGGGGTTGTAAGAGGTGACTAAGGTAAATTAATGGTCGAGAGATGAACAGCAGCGTTCTTCTTAAAACATGATCAAAAGCCAACTGCGATTGTCAACCCGCTTGCCAAGCGTAGCAACTACTGGCAAAACTCCCCAATAGAGGGAGGACAATGTTCAGCAGTGGACAGTTGGCGGCTGATATTATAATAATATTTGTGTATATATATGTATGTATATATTGGCAAAAAATGCATTCAGACACTGTTGATGACTCATACTAGGATCAAAAAGTTACTAACTTTGTCGCACCATCAAGTTGTCGAATTTCTTCCTGGGATCTGTGTTACATGTCAAATATAATTTGGACACATTCAAAAGAGGCGTGAAAAAGTGTTTCTACGTATGTAAGCCGGTATAAAGAAGGTCGCAGGATAAGTGCAATCTTATGCTGGACTTGAGACTTACATAGATTTCATAATCACTCATCATCATCATCAGATGGTTATGGAGTTAATGTGTCGTGCTAGTTTACCTAGAAAACAAAACTATGTACGCATACATCACCCACGAGAGGGGAAAGGGAGTGTTAGTAATGGAGTCTGATAGCCTCATTGCTGGCAATATGCCCTGTTAGGTCGACCTCCACGCGGTTCCCCCGGGAAACCATCGTTAACAATTCTTGTTGAATTCGTCACGAAGGGCTAATTGACCCGCTTCATCCTCACCTATCATCCTTCACTGGTACCCCGCCAGTGTATACCAATAGCGCGGGTGGTGTTACCATTTTATTACCACCCATTAAAAAAAAACATCACCTACGAATACGCACGCACACATACTGACCGACACCTACACACAAAAATTGACCATACATTGCTTTCATATTTTATTTTCATCATAATTTCACAACGCTGTGATGTTGTTATAACCGTTCACTTGGTGATAGTGGTGAATGTAAAACATTTACGAGCAGACGTATGTCTACCCTTTTTTTATCACGATCAATATCTTGTTCATGAAATGTATAAAACAGTCTACGAATTTAATGCGTACTTTTTGTTCTATTAAAGGGAAATGATGTACCTCTATCTCAACTGACGTAAAGTGATGATGTCGAAGATGTAGCTCACTGCCTCCTGAACTGTTTTTTTTATGCACATTAGAATGCCAAATAAACTGACGGCCCAATTAATGGAAAGTGGTAACCGTCGCCGCCGCTCATGTCTGTAGAGCAGTACTACGAACGTAACAGAGTATTCTGTTTCGTCCATGATACTCCCCATGCGGTGTTATTCCTCTGTACCCTGTAAATTCAATGCCATATCCCACCCTTCAACCCGAAACACAGCCATGCAAACATAACTGCATCACGGTAGAAACACGAATGGGGCATATGTGTCCAAGCAAACGACTTTTGTACATAGTCTCCTTTTGGTATGTGTGTATTCACTTTTCTAAAATTATGTATTCGAAAAAGCAGCATAGGCTAGTTTTACTCTTTAGCCGTTTTTACGACTATTTCTAGATATCACAAAAAATTGTTTTCAGTACGTATTTCATTCTTCGTTTCTGCGCTCAGTAACTTCCGTGGCATAATTCAGTAAAGTGCTCCAGTTAGCGTCGGCTCTTAATAATTAGTTCGCAATTAGCTAAGGCGCCATCATAAGGGTGGCATGGCGGTAAATAGGGGGGTATGGGGCCCAATAACTATGAAACATTAATTGTCGAGTCCGAAGTAGACATTTATAAAGAATTAGGATTTTTATATTATTTTCATTTGTTGCTCAGTGAATTACAGCTCTCCAAAACTAACTCTGAGTATAGCTCTCTGGTTATGCTCAGAGTTTCTTTGCGTGATAGAATCTGAGGATATTTGCAGAAGAACGACAGAACGATCGTCATAGCTCGAAGATTGAGCAAGTTGTAGTGGCAATGATCTGGTTATATAACTCGAGGAACCAACAAGTGTTGGTTCGATGGTGGAAGAAAAGTTCTTGAGTGGCAATGACGTACAGGCTAACACAGTGTAGGACGACCTTCCACTAGATGGAGTGACGATCTCAAATGAATTGCAGAATTCAGTGGATGCAGGTGTCTCGGGACATTTCTTTATGGCAGTCTTTGGGAGGAGGCCTATGTTCAGCAGTGAATTTGTTATTAACGTCAATTAAGGAAATTTCACAGTTTTTCATCATCAGTTTTTATCTGTCCACTGCCTTCCCCTCCCCAACTGCAGTTAGGCTTTGGAGATGTTTTAAGAGGGACGCTGCTGCCCATCCCTCGCTCTCCCTTAGTCGCTTTAATGACAGGCACAGGAAAATATGGGTACGGGTGGCCTATTCTATGCCGGGACCACACGGTAATTATTTCGGTTTTCACTGTTTTCTGGTTCCATTATAATTATATAAGAAAAATTTCGATTATAGTTATGATAACGGAGTATTTTCGATTCATGGTCGATGATGGCCATGAATGGAAATGATAATCTTTGTTTCTAGACATAATCATTGTCGAAGTCGTCACCGAATACAATGTATTGCTTATAATATTTAATATCTATTATTACCATTCTCGAGGTCCAATGTGTAATGTCCCAGAGGGAGACTTTGTACAAAAGTCGATTGCTTGGGCACCTCTGTCCCTTTCGTGTTTCTACCGTAAAGCAGTTGTGTTTGCATGGCTGTGTTTGGGTTTGAAGGATGGGATATGGCGTGAATTTACAGGGTACAGAGGAATAACACCTGAATCCTCAGGAATGGCAACGCATGTGGGGGATCATGGGTGAAACAGTATACTCTGTTATGTCCATGGTACTGCTCATGTCTATAGGCGACGGTTACCTTTTTCTATCAGGTGGGCCGTCAGCTTGGTTGCCATTCTAAGTTGTATAAAAAAAATAATTAAAATAATTATACAGAAAATAATAATACCCCGCCTGCGCTAACGGTATACGCTAGCGGGGCACCAGTGAGGGATGATAGGTGAAAATGAAAAGGCCAGTCAGATCAAGGTTAGGTAGCTGATCATGATGAATATACCTGGAGTACAGCACGTTGGTTTCCAGGGAGGACTACGTGGAAGTCGACCTGACAGGGTATATTACTAGCAATGGGACTGGTAGTTCGCATTACTACTCGTAACAATTCCTTCCCCCCCACTCTCGTCCGATTAGACAAGTTAGAGGCCTTCATATACAATGAAGGTAGTTTAGCAACTACTAACACTAGATGGCTACACACACGAGTAATAGTTGTACCGAAAATAATTCTGGTAATATTAAATAATTACCTATTTATACTATTCTAGAAACTGAATAAAGAAGTAGGCAGCGTTAATGGGAAATCAATACTTGAAACCTTGGCAACTTATAAATTAGATTAACTGAAGACTTGCAGATGGTTTCTGAATCGAAAATTGCTACTTAAGCATAAGTTAGACAAGTCGAAACTTTAAGTATTTAAAGAAGAATTTTAAAATTTCTTAAATAAAAAATGTATGTTAATTTTTAAATGTCTTCCCGAAGGGGTCGTCTTTTTCTTTTAAACCCACTTGAAAATTTGAAAATCATGAAGAAATTCCGATAAAAAATCAAATAAAATGAGAATTATGGTTTGACATGCCAACAGAATATTTCAGATCTGAAATATTTGAATAATCCGATTTTTTATTTTATTTTTCAAAGACGTCAACATTACAAAATAAGTCACGTCTCTGATTACAAATTGATACTTACAATGTGATATGTACTTTGAGTCTTATTAGTGAGATCTTTAAGTCTAGTTCTTCATCTCAAATTTATGCGTTTGTGTCTGGCATTTCGTCACAATTTCTTATTACATTTTTCCTAACGAATGCCACATCTGTGACTTGCATTTTAATGGTGAAAAGAGATGTTCAGTATTTTTGTACTGTTGTAGGTGGTAGGTAAGTGTGTGGTGTTTACCCCACTCACTCTTCGATATTTAAATGGACTTTTTTTTTTGTTTTTTTTTTTTTTATGGTTTGCGGTACAGTATTTATTTATTATGCGGTACAGTATTTAAGGCATCCCGTCCTCGCTATTGGATACGGGTGACGGAATGCCTATACAAAAGGGTACATGGTGGACGCAGTTTAAACGCAATATTTGAGGAGCATTAGGAAGGTACTACGGCCGGATACTGCAACAAAAAAAAGAGTATGTAGTCGGCCCGAACTGGCGACCTCTGCTGTCTACCGGTTTCCAGTTCGAGGTAGATATTTAAATGGTCCAACATTGCATTGAGGATCAAATTGCATTATACTCGAATATTATATTTCGGAACTTGGTGATTCGGTGGACTGTTAATAGCGGAATTATTTGTCCTGTCGCTAGCAATATTAGATCGACTGTCACGAGTTTTCGCTGTAAACCAGCATGGTTAATTTCTAATGAATTCGTTACGATGGGTTTAATCAACCTATTTCTCCTGTCATCATTCACTAACGCCTTGCTAGTATTGACAGCTTTGATGACGTTACCATTCCATTTTCAACCTATTAAAAAATATTTGAATAGTGTTCTGATTTATTGTTATTACAAATTATAAATATTATTATTAATATTGTTGGTTTTTTTATTTATTTTTACGATAGAATTTCTATGTCCGGATATCATGAGTTAAATTGAGAGATGGGACGAAATCTAATATCTCTTCTTCTTCGTAAGAGTGTTGCCCGTTGTCAATTTAATAATCTAACAATATAATTGTTTTTTATTACATTTAAGGCATAGGTTACACTATCAAATAGATGAATGAATATATATTAATAACTTACTTATACTGTACTTTTACGTGATACAGTGAGATCTCTGGTGGAACATAATATGGTCCTAAGTAGGTTTTTTTTATTGTTGGATTTAGACATATAACTCAGCGTCATCTATGTAAACTTTGTACTATTGATACTTATAACCTAGAGGTTTGAATTTTGCTTAAAATATTTTTCAAAAATAAATAAGTTTGTGTATTAAAAAAATAAATTGCAATAGCTAGTCATACTATTCACTTTCTATCTATCAGCACAGTTAGTGTATATTATATAATAATAAAACAACAAAAAACCAATAGAATTCATTCATTTCTGGTTATAGTGATCAATACAGTAAAATAAGATAGAAAAAATTTGACTTTTCTTTAAAATAAAGATAACAAAGGTACTACTTATGATATATTTTGTTTCGTATTTTTTTTAGGACGGCCATAAGTTGAACTATATGACGTTTCAAGGTTATCTATTCATTACCGGACACCCTGTATATACATAATTATATTTTTTAATAATTAACATATACAGATTAATAAAAACTACATTAATATAACCTTTTGTATTATGTAGAATTTAAACCGGAAACATAGGTTGGTGTTAAACAAATACTTAAAATAAATATAGTGGCTACAAATTATAAATAACTTACTAAATTTGGTAACTTCATATTAATAACTTTATTATATACATTAGGTTGTACATGATAAAGAAGTCCCTTGTAGTTCTGGCATAGAATAGGCCACCCCTTCCTTTCTTGTGGGTGTCGTAAGAGGTGACTAAGGACGGGCAAGGGATGGGCAGCAGCGTCCATCTTAAAACATCTCCAAAGTCTAACTGCAATTGCCAATCTGTCTGCCAAGCGTAGCAACTACTGGCCAAACCCTTATGCTTGGAGACTTATGTACAGCAATGGACAGTTAGGGGCTGATTTGATGATGATGATGATTCATTAGTGTTATTTTATGCATAATCTCAAATTATATGTATCTATGTAAAAATTATTTAAATATTATCATAAAAAAAGATATTTTAAGCTAAGTATTTGTTTCAGCCCATGTTAATTGCACGACGTGAGTACCCATACCATAGATGGGAACCGCTCTACTTTGGAACCCACAAGGAGCCATGGTACAGCGAAATGTTGTCATGGGAAGGACGTCAAGATAAAATGACACAGGTAATAAGTTTTTATTAATTTTTTTGTACCTATATGGCTAATGTTTTATGGGGTAGACAGATAAAACATAATGCTAAAGATCTTTATTTAAAGGTTAAATATATTGTTGTGAAATTTTTGCATCTATCTATATTCATAGCTCGTCTTATGTATGTCAGTTCGGGAGACTATGAACATTATTGTTGAATTTCCTGCCGTCTCTATTGATATAACTGTATTCCGCGGCTTTGCCCTTGTGAATTAAGATAAAAGATATCTTATGACTTAATCTAAGGTACGGTCCACTTGTGTGACAATTTGCATACAAACCTGTTTAGTGTGATTGAGTAACAAAGACACAAACATTTTTACAAATTTTCATATTTGTAATACCGGTAAGGTTTATAAAAGATAAAGTCAGAAAATATGTTAATTAGAGTAATGGAAATAATTTACGTTTCCTCAAATAAGTATTTTTATTATTTTTATTTTTTCTATCTTTTGTATTATTCGAGTAAATGTAAAATATTGATTTATGTTTTCTTTTGAAATATTTCCTTCTTTTTTTTTATCGAATGACGTTATCAATCCGGTCTGTTGTCATAACCCAAAATGCGTATCAAGAAATACGAAAACGAAAATGATTATACTTTTTTTTTGTTTTTTTTTTTTTTATTCTTCAAATCAATTTGCTATGAATATTTTATTGTCAGTCCAAAAACCAATTCCAATTTCTTGTGATTATGACAACGTGATCTGTTGACAGTTACATGGGCGGGAATAGAAACGTAATTTCCTATCTGACATCTATTTTGCCCTCTGCTTCGGAATTACCTTTTGTGAATTTAATTTTATTCAAGTGAAAAATCAATTGGTGAGAATAGTTATGTTTTATGATTGAAAATGTCACCCTGTCTACGCTATTGGTTCAAGCTGGTAGGGTAGTAGAGGACAAAGTCAGGATAGATGGTCCTTCGTGATGAATTCGTCAGGAATCCACCTATTCCCTATTATTAACAATCCCCTTCCTCAGTGGTATAGTTTTAATAATTAATATATTTTTTTTGTATCATTTATGAGAATTCGAATTACTTTTTAATTTTTTTTTTATTAATTTTTAGATGCTAGAGATGTGCCTGCAAGGATACAAGTTTATTGTCCTAGATGGAGGGTTTCTGTGTCATGCTTCCCTTATTTTCAAAATAAGACTGAATTTCGTGAACTATGAAGTGTTCAGACGTGCGACTATATTTAATACATATCGTTACTATGTAATAATACTTTCATTGAAAAATAAATACAAGATTAACAAAGTTCCCAGAAAAGTTGATTGTAAAAAATGTGATGTTATGTATTCTCTCTAATTTTTTCTACTAATTTTTTTGTATATTTTGTTTTAATGATTTTTGTTGGAATATATTTCATTTTGATATTATGTTTTATTATTTATTATTAGTTGTTGTTTTCTATATAGATATACTAGCTGCTCCTGCGACTTTGTCTTCGTAACCAGGACAAATTAATGGACCGGGATAAAAGTAGCCTATGTATGTAGTATGCAGTTTTTTTTTATAGTAAATAGTAACTTTATGATGCTTAAGGTTAACAAACAAATATACTTTTATATTTATTTTCAAGTTATAAGTTACTCATTGTACTTTAATTATAAAAATAAACCGGATTGACTTCCGAGATGTATTTAGGTATAAGTAGTTTTATATTAAACAAACAAAATTTTTGGTATATGTGTCCATGAAAAATAATAGTACAAATTGCATTTGTGTGGGTAATAGATTACACTTACGCCTTCCTCGGTGTATGTTTACTTACCCCAAATGTAAGGAAGTAATAAATATAGTGATTCGTTACATGTAGACTTATATACGCAGTTTGTTTCTACGTATACGTGAAAAACAAACAAGTACAAACTCTGTATAGGAGTGGAATTAGAAACTAGGTAATATATTTGTTCTAATGTCTTTATTTTATGCATTAAGATAGTTAATGGTGGATCAAGTTACATTTTAACGATGCTCCCCGAGGCTCGGTTTCGTTTTACCCGACTTTTTTATTCTACTGGGAGAAGCGGACAAGTTCTCGAGTGGTATCAACCCTCTAAGATTAAGACGACAGTTTATCTATCTTTGTGTGTGTAACGGGTTATGTTTTGAAGCATAGACATAGGCTAAGGACATCTTTGGAGATACTATAATGTACTACGTACTGACAATACATTATTCAAACGGGATAAGAAAATAGTTACACCAGTGTGCGTGTTTTGTAAATGTGTACACGTGTTAATTCTACATTTATATGCAATTAAAGTTGCAAAAATAGTAAAAATGCAAGTATTTGTTACAATTTTAATTTCTATTTATGGCGGCTGAGAGCTTTACTTGGATTAAATTAGATTTTTTTCTAGTAATTCTTGTGTAAAATATTTCTGGTCGTTTTATAATATTGCGAGATATTAAGAGATAAATGTTTATAGTGTAATTACTTTAAAATGGTGAAATTTTGTGATTTTTTTTTAACTTGTATTATTTATGGTAAACCATATTTAATTTTAACATACTACATTCATTATGAAACTAATTTTAATTCAACACGTAAAAGTAAGTCGAGTTTATATTATATAGGAGAGTGTCCTAGTTGTCTATTTAGAATTCCAGGGGAATCGCATGGAGGTTGCTAACAATGAGGCTATTAGACCCTATTACTGATAATCCCATTCCCCGTGTTAATTTAAAGCCCATTGATTCCTCTTTGTTTTGATGATTCGACATTGAAATTATTTAAAAAGTAGATATTCCTTTTCAACAATTTTTACAATTTGTACAATTTTTCCGGCGTTGCTCACGAATGGCAGTAGTCACTTACCATCAGGCATAGATAATATGATTATATTACTAGTATCAGACTGCTACAGGTGAGTCGTTCGTTTTACCCGTGTTTAAATAGTACATTACTGCAGCGGCCAGCAACTGAGGCATTGATGGACGAACGTGCAAACGTGTGGGCCGAGGCGTAGCCGAGGCACACATACATGAGTCCATTAATGCCTAGTTGTGGCCAAGGATTGTATAGTACTTTTCTTAAACAATGCGCGGAAATCAAAAACACAATTTTACTTTTTAAGTTCAATGACGAATAACGAACAATAATAATTTTTCACGCGCCATAATGTTCCTTTGTTTTTTTCAATAAACAGCTTTCTATTTGCAAACCAGTTCGAAATTTAAATAAAACTTTGTATTAGTTACCTACTTGGTAGCCATGTTTCGAAGTAAAAGGTCATTTCATTTTTAAATTACAGGACAAATATGAGTTTACTTAAATAATGCTTACATTTTCAAGCATGTTTGAGAAAAAATAAATATTAAATAAACATAAGATACATACACACACACACACACACACACACACACACACACACACACACACACACACACACACACACACACACACACACACACACACACACACACACACACACACACACACACACACACACACACACACACACACACACACACACACACACACACACACACACACACACACACACACACACACACACACACACACACACACACACACACACACACACACACACACACACACACACACACACACACACACACACACACACACACACACACACACACACACACACACACACACACACACACACACACACACACACACACACACACACACACACACACACACACACACACACACACACACACACACACACACACACACACACACACACACACACACACACACACACACACACACACACACACACACACACACACACACACACACACACACACACACACACACACACACACACACACACACACACACACACACACACACACACACACACACACACACACACACACACACACACACACACACACACACACACACACACACACACACACACACACACACACACACACACACACACACACACACACACACACACACACACACACACACACACACACACACACACACACACACACACACACACACACACACACACACACACACACACACACACACACACACACACACACACACACACACACACACACACACACACGCGCGCACACGCACACGCACACATACACATTTATTTACACGTTCATACGTGTACATAGTTTAACTAATGACAAAATAAATGAATAACTGATGACACAATCTGTTTCATGTTGTCATCAGATGTTGGAACTATGTCTTCAAGAGTACCGGATGGTTGTCCTGGACGGTGCGTTTCTGTGTCACGCCGCTGTCACGAAAGGTGGTTACAAGCACGCCCGAGCTGAACGTGTCAATACACAAAGATATATGAAGATCATAGGTGCCCTGAAACAGAAGTATCCTGACCGTCCCCAGTGCAAGGTTATGTGGGGATGCCAAGTGTGATGAATCATATCATAACATGTTCTATATCTGGTTATGACTTTCACGTTTTAAAAAAAGACTAACATATTTGTTCTAAATTGTACTCTAGCTAGGTAATTTGGTGTACATATTATTTTGTTTTTTTTTTTAATCTTTCATTAGTGTACTGGTACTATTTTTTTTTACAATTGAAATTGAAATTGGTAATTGTCGCCTAATTGGTAATAATTAGGTAATTAATCTAAATTAGTCACTAGTTACAAACATCAAGTTTAAACATTAATTAATTAGTTTAGTTTTTAATATTTTTTTATACTTTAAAAAATAAAGTGAATAAATCAATATATTAAAGATGATTTTTATGTAGGCACCTTAGTTCTAATAAATCTATACTTCTATCCCCAAATTTATAATACTAGTGTCTCTTCTTAAATATGATATAATATTTATATTTTTTTTAGTTATTTTTAGTTCTAATTATTGAAATATATTAATTAGATCTATTGTAAATAATAATATAGTTTAGAATGGGTATAGCAGAATAAGCAATTTATTGAAATAATTATATACTGTGTATATTATATGTAAATATTTATTATTTTAAATGCATTAAAGAAAGTTATGAATACTTAATTAATTTTGATTAATTTATTTTTAAATTGAAAGAGTTCCCATGTTTTTTTTCCATAAAGCGTTAGAATCTCTGTGTAGTTTGTAGTTACATACCAATTTTTACCAGTTGTATACCAAGTTTTTTTTTTTGTAAATAAAGATGAAATAAGAAAATTGTAGTTAATGTAAGATATTAAGCTCTCAAGCTTCAAAAATAATGAAGTACGTCATTTATTTTTAACTTTTGGTGTATACTAAATCATTATTGTAAAATATTAATGTACTCATTTCAGTATAGTACGTTAACTTTTAAGATTTATAAATGTAATCATTGGCGTATTTCCAGGGGCAGGGGGAGGGAGGGGCCTGGCCTCTTAAAAAAGAGAAAGAAAAGTATATATAATAAGAGTTGTCTTTGTCAAGCTTTGTTCGAGTCTTGGGGTGGGTGCACCAGAGCATTCTGGGTCTGGCATAGCCCACACAGCCTCTTTTATTAATACGCCTCTGAGTATAATCGAGAACATATCTATTTTGATTCGGGCGGCAAAGTGTTTTATGTCTAAAATTTTATTAAAGAATTTGAAATTCTATTTCTAAATAACTTCCTGTAGGTTTACAGTTCGTGTATACCCTTTTTTTAGTTCCCTAGTTTTTGGGTTTATTACAAACAAACAATTAAATTTCTCTTCTATATTAGTATAGATAGTTGTGACCATATTAAACTTTTCAGAAAAGAATATTTAACCAAAAAGAATATTTATTATCTTTTAGTCTATAACGCGTTGTCTTCACAAACTATGATTCAATCTTATCTTTCCTTATTTAAAGTCCTTAATCAAAGTTTTCCTTTTTATAATATTAATAAAGATCTATGAAACATCTCATCGTTTATTGATGCATTTCATTTATTTTGAAATAATAACAGTTGGATACTGTATTATATTTTATTATTCTATTTTAATTTAATGGAAATGTAAACAATCCAAAAATTAATCTAACAGTCTGTTGATGTTCAATAGCAGTACAATTTAAAAATAAATTAATTGATTAAATGTTTCAACTTATCACTTATTTCATTTTGAGTGTGTTTCTATGACAATTTCATTAAAATTTGGTTGACCTTTCAAGTTATATTGAAACATATGGACAATACTAATATTGACACTTTTAAGGTCACTATTTTCTGTGGAATAAAATTACTAGCATAAGGTCAATTTTAAGGTGAAGTCCTTTAAATGAATAAAATATTGTGCTCTTAATTGAACTGTCATGGGCACTTCAATTATATTAATTTTTTTTTCTTCCAAAAAACTGAGAACGAATATTTGTCGCAAGCTGTAAGATGCGTTTCTTGCACTTTCAGGGCATATAGTGTGAGAAAATGCAACAGTTCTTAGTTGAAATAGTTTGATTATATATCGCTACGTCCATTTATTGTATCTTATATAAATTCCGTTAAGTTTCGTTAAGAAAAGTTAGATATTAAGTTTATAAATTCAGTTCAGTAGTGAAGCTGATGACCTTTCTTCAAGAATGCCAGGAGCACTAGTGAGTCACTATATAATTGTGAATGACATAAGTAAATATTTTATATACCTATATTTGCCGTCCACTTTACGGTGATATTTTACCTATTTAGTTCCTTATCTCATGTCGACTTGTCTAGAATTAGTTTACTCTTGACTTGTAAATATAGTTTATATTAAATAATTAATGAAAAACTTCAGCGTATTTTTTTCATATGAGGCTTTATTTATAGTAAAAAAGAAAAATATTTGCTTTTAGCGATTATTTAAATAGAATTATTTTGTTTAATTCCTCTATCATTAGCATGAGTGCGATTGCCAACTTTTATTGGTTATTTTTTATGAACAGCTATTTTTTGTTGTATTTACCCATGAGCAGAATTTTATTTTTAATTAAAATGAATACAGAGCACAAAAGCCACAATAATAAACAAAACAGTGGAAAGCACAGATAAAACAGGCCGTGTTTAATACAGATTAAACATAATAGAGAAATGACTTATTATGTTCTAATAATGAGAAGCCTTAATAAAAGAAATAGAAGCTAAATTAATAATTTTTAGAAATTCTCTGTCTAAAAGTGTTAGTCAGTCTGTATATTGGTACCGGCATCACGCAATAGTTACTGTACCAAATTAGATGCAGTTTTTATTATATTCCTAGAGGGCTTACTTAAAAACGAAGTTAAGTTTTATCTCAGTATTACATTTACATGTGGCTTATTTAATTGGTTTTCCTACTTCTGAAATCCACGTAGACGAAGCAGCGGGTAAATAGCTAGTATTTCATAAATATTTCACTGTTGGACATTTCCAATAAAACAGTTATAATATGCTGCTTTAACATATTATGTATATGTTACAACGTAACATATGTTACAACGTAACATATGTTACAACATGACATATTGTTCACTCGTGAACTAAATTTTATTAAAATTAATTATTGAATTTATTGTTAAATATTTAGAACAGAATAAAAAAAAATCTATATTCAAATAGACTTGTTTAGGAATTCTTTTAAATCATATTTTTTATGATTGTACTGCTGGGTTTGGGATGTTATTGCCTACTGAGAAGAACTCTCAAGAAACTCAACAATTACTCTTTTCAAATTATTAAGTACAAGATAAGTTTACATTTGCATGACTACTGTTACTATAATTGGAATTACGTTCTATTTATATGTATTATTAAATGGGGAAATAAACAAGCAAACAGCAGCAGATCGGTCTCCACAAACAGCATCTGTTCACGAGTATGACGGATGAGTCAGCCGTCATTGCGCTTAACCATATTTTAAAAAACTCAACAACTTATCACGTCTCCATTATTCAGGTTCTATTTAAAAATATAATACTGAATTCTCAATACCCCATTAGGGTTTATAGTCGTGAGTATATCTATATCATACCAATAGCTATTTATATGTATAGAAAGTAAAGTTCTAAATAGTCCTAAAGTAATATAAATAGAGGGACCTTACTTACTAATTAATACTTGCGCATTTACAAGGGCGCCGACATAAATCTATTTTAATTTGGGTAACTTATAATTAATGTTTTGTTTATGTTCTTAACAAGTTTTTATTGTTAAAAGCGTCCATACTTTAACTTACTAAGTATAAAGTAAGTAATAGCATAGAATTTTTCCTCCATGGTAAGTAAGTAAGTATAATAGTGAGTAAGGCAATGTCGCTAATTTTATTATAAAAAACAAACATTTTACAATGTGAATTGCAATTTTGATTGATTAATTAAAAAGTGCATTGTTTGCTGTGTGGTCCAAGCATAAAATGGGCCCTTGTTGAAACACCACTAAAAGGCTAACTGCGGTTGTCAACCCGCCTGCCAAGCGTGGCAGCTACTGTCAAAACTTTTTTTATGGGGAAGGCTTATGTTTAACAGTGTATAGTTAATGGCTGAAATAATAATAAATATAATAATTAAAAAATACATAAGACAATTAAATGAGACAATAGTCAATAAAGTTTATACGATGATGATATAAGATGATGATGATGACTAGTAAGGTATGATGTATTCAATAAACTAATTTAGCACTACCACCTTTACAAAATTGATTAAACTTCCGTATTGGTCCCAAACTAATTTGATTAAACTTAAAGTAAGATTTTTCGTGGAATGTTTAATTATGCCCTGTCAGCTTCAAACGTTTACCTTCAATTAAACTATAATTTGATCAAATAAACTGTTGATTAATATCGATTAATTAACAATACAGTTTATTAAATTGTATGTATTCATAAAACAATATTGTACTTATTCGTAGTAGCAATTTGTGTGACCTAGACAACCTTACCTGTAGGTAAATTGTCTTCAAGAAGTTTCAGATTATAAACTAAATAATTTTTTGTAGTTTTTATGAATTAAATTGTCAAATAACTAGCTACACATCCTGGCTTCGCACGTGTAGAAAGATAGAATATCAATTTTTTTATTATACTCCAGATATTTATGTTAAAAAATAGATTTACTATAGTATTCTTATAGTATTTGTCTATGTGTTACTCGCTAGAAATAGAAAGAAATTTATTTGTATTTACAAAATATATCTGGTCTCAAAAGAATATTAGGTTTGTGCTTATATAAAGACAAATAAAATAATATCTTTATTGAAACAGGAAAATAAATATGAGTGCCTCTTTGTTCATATTTATTATAATTTTTCTGTTTATATAAGTGATGTAGGCGTTCTGTGTCTTTCAGTCAATTTATTATAGAGTCAATAAAGAAAGATTTAATCATAATACGTGTAAATAAAAATACTGTGTAAATTTTAATGAAAATTTGCGAATGTGTATTGTTTGTTTTAATTAAAGAGATATGGCAGTTTTTATTCCGTTAAGTAAATATGCTGTTGGGTAAGCTAGTATCTATTATTTTTTTCATACAACTTAGAATGGCAAACAAGCTGAAGGCCAACCTGACGGAAAGTGGTAACCGTCGCCTATAGACATGAGCAGTACCATGGACATAACAGGTTATACTGTTTTGTCCATGATTTCCCCCATGCGTTGCTATTTCTCAGGAATAGCAACGCATGGGGGAAATTTACAGGGTACAAAGAAGTAACACCTGAGGGTGTTACTTCTTTGTACCCTGTAAATTTACTGCCTATCCTACACTTCAAACCGAAACGCAGACAGAGATGCTCAAATAAGCGAGTTTTGTACAGTCTCCCTCTGGTCTCCCTTAAGTAAGTCTCCCTCTACTCTACAATTTTTATTTGATGATTAGAATCACTCAAGTTATATCAAATAAATAAACTTAAATCAATTGAAAGAATAATATTTTTTTTTATTTCGGATTTTTTTGGTCCATTAAATATTTATTAGTAACAATATTCTTAAAAACTAATGTTAGTAAATTTACATACACAATACACACACATATCGTCATAGTCGTAGAATACTGACGGATCTGACAAAAATTACATATAAAGATCCGTCAGTATTCTACGACTATGACGACATAATGCATGTCTGAATAATATTTATTACGAAAATTTAAAGCGTGAACCGCGTGGAGGTCAACCTGGCATATTTGCTAGAAATGGAATCTCTAGTCTTATTCATAAACCATCCCTTACCCTTACAATTAATAGTACTAGCATGGTATTATGTATGAATAGGCGAAAGCTTAAAACATTAATCCCTATTACTAGCAATATACTCTAACAGGTCGACCTCTGCACGGATACCCCTGGAAACTAATTAATTCTTGTTAAATCCGTCAGAAAGAGTTAACTGACATGCTTTCATCGTCACCTATCACCACTTACTGGTGCCCCGCCAGCATATACCGACAGCGCAGGTGGGGTTACCATTCCCATTATGGTCCACTAAGAAGAACACAGGAGACCGATTAGTCCATCGATGCTAAGAGGTAACAAACATACTATCTTCACTTTTTTTCACAACACAGGGTACAAACTAGCATGCGGCTCACCTGATGGTAAGTGACTACATAGTTTGCAGGTATGCTGCCGGTCTTTTAAAAAAGAATATGCTCTTTTCTTAAAGGTTACAATGTGGTATCGGTTTGGAAATACTGCTGCTGAAAGTTGATTTCAAAGAGTGATTGTGCGTGGAGGAAAGTGCCTTGAAGAACGCACGGTGGAAGATCGCCACTTATCTAGATAGTTTTACATTTATTATATTAAAAGAAATGTAAAAAGATTGTATTGCATTACATTATAATGTACTTACCTATTTCTATAATGAGTTTCCGCAGCAGTAGTAATAATGTTAAGGCAGAGCTTCGCAATTCGCGAAATCATATTATTCCTGTCTTGCATTTTTAATCAAAATACATTTATGCGTCAGAATTATCGAGTATAAAGAAGGCACGGCAATTCTAAGAATAACAATATTGGAATAACCCTGGAAAATATATTTGACGCAATAAAAAAAAAAAAGAAATAATATAATTTGTGTATTTTAAAGCTTTCATTTGTTGAATTGCGAGTAGATTTATATTGAATTCTATATTTTCTTCAATAAGCCAATTGGAAATAAAAAATAATTATATTACGTAATTTGTTCAGAAGTTGTTTTGATGAAGAAATGAGTAAATAATTGTGTTCCTGTCTGTTTGTATTAAGGTTTAAATACAAATAAGCATGGTTATATATTGATGGTATCATCTTTTTCAAACGACTTCAAAATAAGGAGCTTTGCCATTCGATTGTATTTTTTTTTTAATGTTGGTTACCTCATAACTCCGTTAGTTATAAACCGATTTGATTTTTTTTATCTGAAAGGATACACTTACAGATTAGTTAGAAATTTATCAAAACAGATTAAGCAGTTTAGTTTAAAATCAAAATAAATGGTTTTCCCACAATTGAAGTATTTTTTTTGTGGAACTTAATCTTAATTTAAATAAATATTTTTATAATATCTTTTATACTAGCTATCTACCCCGGCTTTATGCGGGTAGATAGAAAGATAAATTAGTATTTTAAATTAGCTTTAATAATATATTTTTGATTTTTGATACCTATTCCGATTTTAATACCTTGGGTACAATAATGTATATTGTAATTCTCGTAAAAGAAATCTCATTTTTTGAAAATAATTATGTAGCCTTATTTACTCGTTGATTATGTACCTTACTATAGGTGAAAGAAGTTTTAAAATTAGTTGATTAGTTTTTGAGTTTATCCAGCACAAACAATAAATATACAAAAAGTCAAAAGCATGTACTTTATAATATTATAATATATAGTATAGGCGAAGAGTCATAATTTATACTAAGTATGAAATGTACCTATAACTTTTAGCTCTCAAAAATGATAACCATTTAGAAGTACTATGGATAGAGAACATATGTATATAGATTGTGTCATTTGCTCTTCTAATACAGTTAATTATATGTTATAGTAATATTTATATATTAATTTATGTATGTACTTATTTATGCATGTATATATTTATTTATATGTTTATAATATATGAATATATTAAGTATTACTTTATTTTTCCTCTATTCAATAACGCACCGCCTACTTATTTCTCGGTTTGCCCAATAGTTGACTGGTAGAGAACACCGTCCGGTGTTAATTACGCCAAATGTACATAGTATTACTGTGCATTAAAGTTTATATAAATAAATAATATAATAACAATAAAATAATATAAATAATAATGCAATAAGTGCATCTTGTCAGGTT